CACCTGTCCCCCAACTGGAGCTACTGGTGGCTCCTCAACTGTTGCTCTGATAGGTGCTCCAGTCACAGCACGTACCCTTCCTCGACCTCTACCTCGGCCTCTACCTCGGCCCCGGCCTCTTGCATCCCTAGCAGTATATGCGGATGCCTGTTCAGCTAACCCGGTAGCATGTGCCCTCACCATTTGTGAGAGAATAGAGATACAAAGGCTCAAATTCCAAATTCAACAAATTTCGCATGACAGGAATGAAAGAAGTGGAAATTTTTTAACAGTTTTGTAGCCTCTCGAAGATAAGTACAGACGTCTCCGTACCGATACGCAAGACTCTACTAGACTCGTTTGTGACTCGTAGAACCTATGAATCTAGAGCTCTGATACCAACTTGTCACGACCCAAAATCCAATCACAAGCGTCGTGATGACACCTAGTCTCTAAGACTAGGTAAGCCGATTTCAATTACATTTTGAAGCCATTTTTAAAAACAATAAGTAATCAAAACTAACAGCGGAACAAATATGAATATAGAACCTCCCAAGACTGGTAGTACCGAGTCACGAACTCTAATTGAATATATGAAATAATTACGAGGACCGAATATACAATATTGTTTGATTAAAATTAACAGTACAATGAAATGAAAAGACTCCAAGGGACTGCGACGACCAAGCAACTCTACCTTGAATCCTTATGATCCCGCTTTAACTCTGCTCAAATCCGATATCTCCAATACCTGGATCTGCACAAAAATGTGCAGAAGTATAGTATGAGTACACCACGGTCGGTACCCAGTAAGTATCAAGACTAACCTCAATGGAGTAGAGATGAGGTACAGTCAAGACACTCACTAGTCTAATAACCTGTGCAATATAATATACAAAATAATAGGAAATAAATAACAATAAGGCCAACACAAAACAACCAGTGATGTGCACAGTAAGACAATAAAATCACCATTAATATCTCTCAACAATTGATAAATATAATTACACCCAGTTAAATCAAGTTCTTCAATTAGACATTTTCACACATAATTCTTACTAACAAAACTCTTTTTCAAATATAATTTCCTCAAATAAACGTCTTTCGAATATAAAATTCTTTCAATAAATGTCTTCAAATATAATTTCCTCAAATAAATATCTTTCAAATACAATTCTTTCATATAATTCTTTTGGAATAAAAATCCTTCCAAATAAATATTTTGAATATAATTCTTTCAATTAAAAAGTCACCATGTAGCACCTCATTTAATAATCATAAAAATACGGGTCTCAGCCCATTTTTATATTTTTCGTAAATACGGTCTCAGCCCATTATTATATTTTTATGGCACTTCGTACCCATAATTATATCATCATATTTCTCCCGCACCTCGTGCCCATTTTTCATCTTTCAGTTGCACAGACAATTCATGTGCCAATATTATCATCATTAAATTATAACACCTCGTACCCACATTTCATATCATAATTGCACGGACAATTCACGTGCCAACATCTTCGTTATTTACTCACGGCACCTCGTGCCCACATTTTATTTTATAATCCAGCTAGCAATAGCCATAAGCTCTCAATTTCAACATAAATCAGATAGTTATCAATTTACCAACAACAAGACAAATTACACAAGGTATAAAAACAAGCACAAGAAAATCACAACATCACATGAAAATCACCAACACCACAACTCCACATCATCACATATCGTCCCTGACAATAACTACCCTTATCGCTCCTATTGCTACCCTTATCGCTCCTATGGCCACCCTTATCGCTCAGCCCAGACAATATCAATAGCCACCCTTATTGCTCCTATTGCCACCTTTATCGCTCATATTACCACCCCTATCGCTCCGCCCAGACAATATTCTAACAAACACAACAACAGTGAAATGCCACCCTTATACCCATATAATATCAACGGTGAAATGCCACCCTTATCTCTCCAAAATAATAACTCACACAACACAATAATTTACATGGGAAATTATCACAACAACATAACAAAAATCAATTTATATCACATTTTGCCCAATGGCCACAACCAAATTTCCAAAGATACAACCAAATCAATTAATTTCACAACAAATAGTCGAATGCCCCACACAATATGTATAACACTCCAAAAATAATCAACAGAGATAGAAACTACTCACCATAAAGCAAAGCCTTCATTAATCTAAACTTAGATAATTATATTAATACTTATTTTTAAACCTGCTTAATTAATTATTTGCATAGAAAAATTCATATTGAAATTGAATTCCAAGAAATATCAAACCAACAATACTTACGAAATTACATAAATTTTCAAGTAACAATCACATCAAATTTTCATACAAAAATAAATTCAACAACAAGGATTTTGGCATGGCAAATAAATGATTTAATAAATATTAACAATTATCCAAATTACTATACAATTTGCCCAAGACTTTAACTCAATGAATTTTGTACATATAAGCCCGAGTACGTACTCGTCACCTCACGTACACGGCATTTCACATTTCACAAATGGCATATAAGACTCGATGCCTAAGGGGTAATTCCTCCACTCGAGATTAGGCAAGACACTTACCTCGACGAAACTAAGTCAATGCTTTGAATGATCTTCGTGAGTGAAGCCACCTTCGGACGGCTCAAATCTGAATTTCGCCCCTTAATAATACTACGATGGTCCACCACACTAAACAAATTTCAATCTACAATAATGCAAAATAATTGCACCAATATTAGTAAACAAGTTTCAAGATTTTTGGTCATTTAGGCATTTTATCAAATACCTAGTAGGCATGAATCTCTACATATCTTAACCATAGAATTAGTTCATCCAACTACTACCATTTACTAATAATTTATCCCACCATCATTCTTAAATAATTCATAACTTCCAACATCACATACATGACCATCCATCCATACCCGACAAACAAAATTCCATCAAATAATCACCTTTAAATCTCTACAATGGTTATGTATTTAAATTGGGAACATATGGCTTCCAATCACCATACCATAAGTTCTAATACTTAAATTCATATCCCCATCATATATCCATATATGTAAGTCTAAGGGTGTAGGATTACCTTTTTGGAAGAAATATTGCAAAACCCTCCTTTGTGTTCTTGAAAATATTTCTTGAAGATCTAAGTATTTTATGTGTAGATTTCATCAATACTAGTGTAGAAATAATGGAATTTAACATCAAGATAATGAGGATTGCTTACCTTGAAGAAGAGAGGAGTTGGTGGTCTTGAGAGAGTGGAGAAGAGCTCCAAAATTCGTCCAAATGGAGTGGGGAAAATGAATCCCAAAATTATATCTATAGGCCCAAATTTCTGGGTTTCGGATGCTTCCCCGGATGCTATGGCAGCACTTCACTGCCATCCCTTCTTTCGGATGCAGCATCGGATGCTTCCCATCCGTAGTCTCCTCTGTCAGCCTTTGGTAAATTTGGTCATAACTTCTTATAGAAATGTTCAAATTACAAACGGTTCGAAGCGTTAGAAACTAGACTAGAAGATCTTTCATTTGATAGGTTGTACATCACATAACTCCTTATATATGTAGATACTCTCGTCCTAAGTTAGGTATTTTGCCGAAACATAATAAATCGATCCGGAATGACCTCAAATTTTAAACACAAGAAGTAAATGACACAACGAAACTATTCAAGACTTCAAATAGTTGGAAGGAGCGTAAATATTTAAAATAACAAGTCGAGTCATTACAACATATTTACTATACGAATGAAGAAAATAATTGATTATCAATATGACAATATGTTATTGGATATTGAATTTTTATTACTTGTATGACGTGTGCATTCTTGGGCAAGGTAGATTTACAAAGAATATAATTAGTTGACATGAATGGTTTCAAGTTAGCTTCTNCACGCGATGTGAATTCGAATTGAAGTTGACGTCCTAATACGGGTATAGAACATCGAATGAGAAGCAAAAAAAGTATTTAAAATCATATAATTGCTAGAATTTTATGAGAGCTTCCAGTTGGGTGCCACCTAGGTTAAATAGCTAGTAGCCTAATAAAGACTTTAACAAAATGTTTAGGCAAGAGTATTTTTCGATTTCATAGACCATCGTTTATCTTAAGCATTGTCTAGACCATTTCCAAAATATTCTGAATACATCATTAATTCTCTTAGCTAGCGTATGGATATAAATTTGATTGAAACTTAAAAAAAATAATTTTTGAAGTTGTGTTAAAAAATAATTTTGAAAGTTGAAATTTTATTTGGACATACATTTTATTTGAAAAAAACTTGGAATTTTGTGAGTGGAAGAAAACTTGGAATTTTGGAAACTTGAAATTTTTTGAATCCCCCCCTCCCACCCCATCCAAAAAAAATATGATCATATTTAATAAACAAACAACATATTCAATTTTTTTGAATAAATGAAGACAAAATCTATGACCAAACGGGACCTTATTATTTATATCATGCTTGGTATTTTATAATTTTCATGCTTTGGCCTCCTTCATGAATAATCAAAATTAATAAAGTATTTAAAATTTAGCTACATCGGAATCAAATTACAAGACTCTAATTTTTTAGTTATGGGCCTGAAGATTCAAATTTTGGATTGTTGGGTCAGAAATTCGAGCTGCAACGTTTAACTTGATATTTTAAACTTCGAAGTTCTAACTTTAGAGAGCGAAAGTAATTGTGACAAGTCACCCAATAGTATAAAGTTAAGAAGGATGATGAGAAGGAGAATTGTCTTAAATTCAGCAAATTTAACTAAATTTAAAATTTAAAATAAATTTTAAAAACTGAATGTGTTTTAAACAATGCCCTTAAAACCGGTTACCTGGTGTCATTTCAATGTCTCGGTTATCAATTTATTTTTTTATTTTTTATAGCAAAACTCAATAAAGTTAAGCAAACCGGACAATTAAACCAAAAGCCGGACGGTTTAAGTGAACCGCAAATTGGAATAAAATCACTTATAGTGAGGAATAGTCTTTCTCCAATTTGCATAAAGCCCCCACATTTTTCCTCCCTGCGCTTCTTTCACTCTCTCGTCCTCTCCCAAACCCAAACCCTCCGAATCTTCAATTTTCTGAATTGCCGTCATCCTCGCCGTCTCTCGCCGTTAAATCTCGCCGGCGGTGAAGTAGAATCTCCTCAGTTCCTTGTAACGGACAGGTTTTTCTCTAAGTCTTGTGTCGTATCTGTTTGTTCTTCTTCTAACCCTATCTTGTAGAATTTCTTTTTTGTTTTTGATTTTCCGTTGCAGTGGCTAAATGAAAAAATTATTTTAAAAAAGGGTTCTTTTTTGTTTTCATAGTTGAGGAGTTTAAGCTCTTACTAATATTATTATTATTATTTGCGTTGAGCATGAGAGATTTGCTTATTTTTAGTATCATTCTTATATATTTGAGCAAATAGACTTACCTACCTTGTAAAAATCTGATTTTTGGTGACACTTAGTTTCTTGATTTTTGAGCTTGTTAATTGTACTAACTATTTTGGTGAATTTATCAAAGTTATTGAATTTCTTAAGAAATATATAATAATATAGAATCCAAACGATAAGTAAGTTGATGTTATTTTTGTTAAAAAAGAACTTCCACAATTTGCTCAAAGCATGTATCTGCTTTCTTGTTTGCATTTTTTTCTTTTCTTCTTGACCTATAAGAAACTGTTCATGTGGATTTTTCCTGCTTGTAAAGTTTTATCTGCTTTACCCCCGAGTTAAATGGAGAAACATGGTCAATGAGAATTCATATAGCTGACCCCTACTTGTTTGGGACGGAGGCATAGTAGTAGTAGTATTTTTAATTGTAACCTTCTTCTGGGAATTGATTGGTGGCGGCATCAATTTTTCTCTTTGCTCAATCTACGTCTTTTTCCAAATGAAGTTTTAAATGATCTCAAGATTGTGTCCACCAACCCCCAAAATCAGTTGCGGAGGAAGAAGCAACATTCTTTGTCTCATGGATAACATATTCTTGGCCTGTTTATGTGTTTGTTAAAATCTTGTTGACTAGAATCATGGATTTGAAAGTGTGGAAGTTGAATGTTCAGACTTATTAATGCCATTGGATAGTACCATATGCCAATTGTTTGTCAAAAAAAGTGTTACGTACCATTTTACGGCTCTCAGCAGATGCTAAGTGTTATGATGCGACATTCTCCCCCTTTTTGGGAAAGTAAGTCATATAAATGCCTCCTCAAAGAAATAGTTAATGTAAGCTAGAAAACTTAAATTGGTTAATACAGACTCAATGTCACTTGCATCTTGTGAAATTGACAATGTTTTTCATTTTGGGTTTTATGCTTTTATATTTTGGGTTTTGACTGCCTCTATGCAGTTATGTTTCCTGTTCAAATCCTCTGTCTTTCTGGCTGATTTATTTATAGGATGTTGCTCGGTGATGATCATGTAAATAATTGCTGTTGTCCATAGAGACCATTTTCATAATTTATTGATAACTTTCGTGGGGATTGAAGAGGTTCTTATGGCTGGTCTGATGTCTGGTGATCCCTTGACGCATCATGGAGCTTATGAAGGTGGAAGTTTTAGGGCTTCTCAAGAAAGGCCAGATGACAGTGGTGGTCGTTGGTATTTCTCCAGGAAGGAAATTGAAGAGAACTCCCCATCGCGACAAGATGGTATAGATTTGAAGAAAGAGACTTATCTACGCAAGTCCTATTGTACATTCCTGCAAGATTTGGGCATGAGGCTTAAAGTGTAAGTCCTTTTTTTTTTATTGTCGTCGTCATTGTGGCTTTCTTATGATTGGATTCCATTTTTTGTGCTATTTGGTGATTGTTCTTTTAGTCTTTTCTTTTAGCAGGTGCAATGTTTGCATTTTTTTACACACTGCTAGAATTGCTAATGCGTGACTTGGTGTAATCTATACCTTTTTGATAAAGATGACTTCGTATAATCTGTACTGCAGTTCTGCCTTATCATTACACTGTCAATCTGAGGTTACTCTAGGTTGTGGTGAAATTGGCTTACGATAGACCCTTGTGGTCCAGCCCTTTCCCGGACCCCGCGCATAGCGGGAGCTTAGTGCACCGGGCTGTCGTTTTTTTTAAGCATTCAGTTACTTGTAATTTCTGTTGAGGAATACAACTATCGAGTTTATTGGTTGTGGATTGTGCTGTTCGAATTTCAGTTTGTTTCATTGGTGCTTTCATTGAGAGGTCACTCATGGAGGACCAAAAGTTACTCAAGGCTCTAGTCGACCATTCGGTTCAGGAAGTCAAAGATTCAATGTTTAAGGAACTCTCTAGAATTCGTGGTCTTCTCATGGAGGTTGTTGCTAACAGACCGCCGGCAGGATGAGAACCGGCGACAACCACCCTCCGCCACAAGCCAGTGGAGTTCAGTCGCTTTTGTGGTGAGAATTCGGAAGCCTGGTTGTTTCAAGCGGAGCACTATTTTGATCACTATGGAATTGCTGAAGATGAGAAGCTCACTATAGCATCGTTTCACCTCGACTACGAAGCTTTAGTGTGGTACCGCTGGTTGTTTCGGAATAAGCAGCTAGCGGGATGGACACATTTTGCAGAGAAGGTACGCGTTTGTTTCCTTCCAAAGGGGCTTGAATCGGCTGAGGGGCGACTGGCTAAGCTCCGACAATTGACCACTGTATCGGAGTTGCAGAGCCGTTTTGAGAAGGTGGCGAACGAGACTGATGACATCTCCGATAGGCTCATGGGCCGCCTGTTTATCTCTGGGCTGCGTGATGACATTAAGAACTCGATTTTGGCCCATTGGCCCACTACGTATGAGGATGCATTAAATTTAGCCCACATCCATGAGCAGCGGATTCTCAGTGAAAAAGGACCGACCCGACCCGCGTTTGCCAACAAAACACCCCCATTATTACTAAACCCTAGCCTGTCGTCATTTCACAAAACACCCACGACTCATGTGTCCACCGTTTTGACTCCTCAAACACCCAACTGACCACCCCTAAAACGATTGACTCATGCTGAACTCCAGAGCCGATGTGAGCGGGGTATGTGCTACAATTGTGATGAGAAGTATACTGCTGGCCACAAGTGCAAGGTTCCTCCCCAATTGATGCTTCTCACTGATGGCTCCGATTTTGACCCAACGATGCCAGAAACCTTTGTTTCCGATGATATTTTGGCCGAGGAGCTGCAATATTTGGAGGTACAGGAGCATTCTGCTATTTCTTACCATGCTCTCGCCGTTGGCAGTTCGGGTACCACCCTCCGTTTTACCGGACATGTGAATGGATCAGCGGTCAAGGTGTTGGTCGACGGTGGCAACACCCATAATTTAGTTCAAGCAAGGGCCGCGAAATTCCTACATTTATTGATCACCTCTGTACCCACCTTCTCGGTGGTGGTGGGAAGCGGCCAGCGGCTAGCGGCTGCCTTGCAATAGTGTTGCACGCCAAGTATCATTGTCTGTTCAAGGAAGTGTTCTCGACTTGGACTTGTATTTGCTGGCCGTTCATGGAGCAAACGTGGTCCTCGGCGTTTCTTGGCTAGCTACCTTGGGGCGAGTGGTGATAGACTATGCTGATCGTCTATTTGAATTCACGCTCAATGGAGCCGTTGTTAGTTGGAAGGGTGAGGAGCCGGTAGAAGCACAACCAGTTCAACTGCATAGTTTGAGGCGGTACACAACTACAAATGCCATTTCCGCATATTTTTGTTTACAAGTGGTACCATAAGATGTTCTTACTTCCACTGTTAATCAGATTGCGCCAGCACCGCCACCAGCAAATCTGTTTCCCCTGAACTGCGCCAGCTCTTAGATTCATTTTGTGATGTCTTCCAGAAGCCTGATGGGTTGCCTCCTAGCAGGCCACAGGACCATGCGATACACTTGGATCCTGGGGCTGGTCCGATAAATGTCAAACCATATAGGTATCCATATTTTCAGAAGCATGTTATGGAACAATTGGTGTCGGATATGCTCAAAGATGGAGTAATAAGAGCGGGCACCAGTCCTTTCTTTCTCCAGTTCTCCTAGTCCGCAACAAGGAAATAAAATAAATCTATACAATCAACCCATCTATCAAATTAAGTCGGATCTCCTAAATATAGTCAAATCTCTTGAAATCATGCTAATCAACACTCCTAAATCAAATCTCCTTGAATCATGCTAATCAACAAGTAGTTGTACCCCGTGGTGCTCTTAATAACACAATGTTTTCTTGCTTGTTCCCCACCTCCTCCTCCCCCCCCCCCCCCCCNTGTGTCCCCTAAATGTTTCAAAATTCTTTAGAGATATGATTTTTTAAGTATTGCTCTCTCTTCCCTTTCTTCTTTTGACTGCGGATATAAGTTCAAACTAGATAAAAAGGAGGGATATCTGCACTAAGATTTTCTAGTGTCATTTCTTACTGATAAATGCATATGCCAATGCATATTTATGCATGTGTAAATATATAAACATAGTTTAGAGGACTAGTCCGCGTCTTGTTCCTTTGTTGATATACAATATCATATTAGATACGATGATTGGAGCTCTCTTGATGTTACAGCGGCTTACAGCATTAGCAGTTGTTTCTTTTAAGAACTCTCATTTGCGCTTTCTCAGGCTTGTCATAAATGCAGTATCACACCTATTTCACTGTATGAAATAAACCATTATCATTCATGGTTCAATTGTTGGGTGCTTGCAGGCCTCAGGTAACAATTGCCACTGCAATAATATTTTGTCATCGGTTCTTTCTCCGGCAATCTCATACAAGGAATGATAGGAGGGTAAGTAACTCTCCGATCCGTTTCAGTTTTACCATCTATTGCATCTATGGCTGCTTGACCTTTTGTATATATTTGTTAAATGAAAGCAGTGATTGCATAACATATTTCCTTGAATATCGTGTAAGCTTGTGGATGAGCAAAAGATCTTTTGGTGCCTAACCAAGTTACAGGATATGCCATATAGTTGGGTTTGGCATCTATTGGCTAAAAACGATCGGTGCCATTAGTTGGGTTTGGTTGATTAAATTGCATGGAAAATGAAAGCTGCATGGTCTCTGATTGGTTTTGTAAGTAGGATTATGTATTCTATTACTATTTTCTGATAACGGAGAAAATTGCCGAGCGCCAGTGGCAATTCAGTGGATAATGGGCCCGCCCCTCTACCCTTCTCCGCATGTCACAGGTTCGGACCTGTGACATGCGCCTAACCCATAGAACTTTATATTTTATCATACCTTGCATTTAGTTTATACCTTGCAATTCAAGCGTTGGTATATGTTCTTATCAGCTATGCTACCTTGCATTTTTAATAAAATTCAAGAGAAACAAAGGTTCAATTAAGAAAGGAAAAAGAAAAAGACACAAGGGGGCATTAGATGTATTTTTATATCACCCAGCAATAGAGCAACCATCAATCTTTTAGCATGTAGTGGTCCAATAGAGGGCCACCAACTTTTGACGCCGAAAACCGGTTCCTTTTATGTGACTAGATTGAATCTCCAATACCTACTAAAAATGTATTCGGGTAGAAGAGTTATCAGATGTTTTAAACTTTTTAGATTCATTGAGATGAGTGTGTTTATCGTTATATGGTGACCTCTGTACTGCTGTAATCTTGTATTTTGCAGTACTTGGTACTTGCCTTAATAATATTTACTTATTAAAAAAAGTATGTGGACCCAAAATCATCAGACCTGTAAGCATTTTCTCATGAGTATTATGCACAGGTTTCCAGTTAGTACATCATTTGGAGAAGCAGTTCAAAATGATGCTTTACGTTTTCAAATTGTGAGGTTTGTGAAGAACAATGAATGTAGGAAAGGTTTAAGGAGGAATTCAGTTAGATATCTTGGTCCTTTATGGTACTAAAAACTATAATAAACATAACTTAATTGAGGGGAGATTCTAGAATGACGGGCAACAATTCAGTTAGCTAATAGTGAAGGAATTTTGTATTACTGGTAAATACTAATGGCTGTCCACTTATCAAAAGAAAAAAGGACATCTTTACGAGCATTTTTTTTGATAAGGTAAGAGAACATCTTTACAAGTAATTGTACTAATTAGCTAAAGTTTGTGGTAGATAGAACTAACTAATATTCTACCCAACTTCCATACCTTTTGCAGAGCATTGCCACAGTATGCATGTTCCTTGCAGGAAAGGTTGAAGAAACTCCTCGTCCCCTGAAAGATGTTATACTTGTTTCTTATGAGATCATTCATAAGAAAGATGCTGCAGCAGCGCAGAGGATTAAGCAAAAGGTATTGCCAATTGGCCTGGTGGTTGTGCTCTGTACGTATCTATTAAATCCATCTTCTACTTTTAGGTCCTCTTCTAGATTTGACCTTAAAACTTTCTTCCTACTGCTTATATGTGGAAGATTTTGCCTTTCGCTAATTTGTATGGATAGTTACTGGCCGTTCAGTTTCTGTTCATCTGTTTCCTCTGGTACCTTTAATCATTTTTAGTGTCTTATTATTACATACTAAAATAATTCAAAAATTTTGTGTGGTCATGCAGGAAGTATACGAACACCAAAAAGAACTACTTTTGCAGGGAGAGAGGGTTGTTCTTGCAACTCTTGGTTTTGATCTTAATGTACATCATCCATATAAACCCCTTGTTGAGGCGATAAAGAAATTCAAGGTTGCTCAGAATGCCCTAGCTCAAGTTGCATGGAACTTTGTGAATGATGGGTATGATATGTTTCTCTTCTATTTAATATTTGTATGTACCAATTGATGGTCACACCTATCTCTTGTTGACGTGGGAGAGCCGCGTGCAGGCTTCGGACGTCCTTATGCTTGCAATTTAAGCCCCATCACATTGCAGCAGGTGCCATTTTCCTTGCAGCCAAGTTTCTCAGAGTAAAGCTCCCATCTGATGGCGAGAAGGTTTGGTGGCAGGAGTTTGATGTCACCCCACGCCAACTGGAGGGTTGGTGTCTTGCCTTGGATATGTATACTATGTGAATTTGTGGTATTGGATGAACCCAGTTTGGCTTACTTTCAGGGATTCTGTGACCACATCAGTACATGGAAACGTTCTGAAATGAACTTCCTGTTTTTTCCTAATAAAGGACTAATTTACAATTGGGCTTTTTTGGGGGTGGGGTNTATATGAACAAAATAGAGTACAACCTTCTCAGGCTAGTGAAGCAGAAGGAAGTGCTGGTGGAAATCAAAGGCCTGCAGGAAAAGCTTCAGCTGCAAATGAAGAGCATGCTGCAAATAACAGTAACTCTCTGGGTGGAGCTGCAAATTCAAATGCAGGAACCTCTAATCGCGCATCTTCTAGGGCAATTCCTGATCAACCATATGCTGATAATCACAGTGGGCCCTCTGAGGCAGCTCAAACTAGCACTAATAACTACGGAAGTGCTGAAAATAATGCTTCAGATCGTATTGGAGATGATGAGATTAGTGATAGGCAGAAGCTTGAAAGTGAGCAGTTGGCTTATCAGGGTAATGCAGCAGAGGTACAAAGTAGATCAAAGTATGGTTCTGAAAGCCATGATGAAGATGATCAGGAAGAGAACACTGGGAAAGCTGAAACAAGGCGTAAAGGGGAACCAAAGGAGAGGTACCATGGTCGAGCCCTGGAGAACAAGGATGGCAGACTTGGCCAGTCACCGCAAGGAGTTAAAAAGATTGATAAAGACAAGGTCAAAGCAGCTGTTGAGAACAAGGTCAAGGCAGCATTGGAGAAACGCAGAAAATCCCATGGGGATGTAACCAGGAAAACTGATGTTATGGATGACGATGATCTCATTGAGAGGGAATTGGAGGATGGAATAGAACTGGCAGCTGGGAATGAGAAAATCAAACGGGAAAGAAAAGAAAGCTGGAGCAAGCCTTCAAACAGACCGGAGCATGAGAACACATATCATGAAAAGCCTCAAGATGAAGCTGGGGATGGGCATCACCAAGGGTCAAAACGGCAGTCTTCACGTGGGGAAGATTACGACTATGTTGAAGAAGGGGAACTGGAACCATATGATGATGCTGACAAGGTTTATCGGTCACCAAAGTTGAACAGTAGGAAAAGGAAGGCAAGTAGCCCCTCAGAGAAACTGATGGAGGGTAAGCGGGATGAGTATGTAACAGGGAGCCACAATCAATCTTACCAAGATTTTCCAGATGATAGAAACGGGGCTGGGAGGCTTGATTATTCTGAGAGGGACCACAAAAGGCAGATGCAGGAAAATCATGCCTGAGATGTCTTCTGTGCTTTGAAGCAGCATATCTAGCTAGTTCTGTTGAACAAGATTAGACATTCTGATCCGAGGAGAGAAGTTTATTTCAGGCTGTCACAGCTAGATCCTATGTTCTCTCTCCTTATTCATGTCTCTAAAAAATTTTGCCACAACTTCAATTGGTGAAAGAGCCACTATTTATATGAAGGAAACCATGTAACTCTATTCTCCGGATTGATTTTGAACCCCTACCATATTCTGCTCTACCCTATTTCCCTTTTCGATATCTCAAATATGTTGCAGAATTTGTAAGAATGGATTCTGGTAATTGTCCAAGTTGTTAGTGTCCTTCAAAGTGTTGTTCATTATTTCCTGTACATTATGGGAGAGTTAACCTTTAAAACTACTTATTTTGCTGTGTAACGAGTTATATTTCTGCCTACTTGGTGCATCATCCAGTCCTTGATTTTATCCATTTCTGTTAATTGAAGATGTCTCTCTTTTCCCCCGCTTTTATTTTTTGTTTTTGGGTGCATCTTCAGTGAGTAATTCCAACTAACAATTAACAAGTAGGGCATGCCAAAGTAGTTTAGAATCAACAGCTGTTCGAGTATTCTTCAATGGATGATCACCAAAATTTTGACTCTGTGAGGATGTTTATACAGTGGATCAGCATTCATAGATCAAAGTTTTGTCTAATGTATAGCAACTCTTTGTATTATCTCAAAGTTATTCTACTCTTATGGTTATGGAGATCATGACTCTCGACTCAATTCGTTTTGAAAATTTTAATAAGACCAAGACTGTTCATTAATTTATTTGGTTCACATTTGCGTTTGAACTCATTCTTAAAACAACAGCGAATTGAAGTATCATCTTTCTACGAAGTCTTCTTGCCCCCTATTTGCATGAAAATATAATACACGTCTTCTTGCCCCCTATTTGCATGAAAATATAATAGATGAATGTAAAAATTTGTTTGAATATCTTATTTCCTACCAATACCATACTAAGCATTACTAGCATATTTGTTCTGAACGTAAAAATGCAAGCGCGGCGTGGGAAATTATGTATTCCATCAGACTACTTCCCAGATCCAAAATTGGATGGAAATCTGGTTTCTGTTTATGTCTTTTTCAAACATAAATTGAAATATATGAAACAGGACTATATGATAATAAGAAGCGATTTTTTTTTATATGAAGAAAGTTACTTTACAATAAAAGCGGATAAAACAAAAATAAAACGGAAGAAATGTTAGGCCTGAAAAGTATGGCTTAAGGGTGGTAAGTGGGCCGGGCCCGGTCCTAAGTGGGCCGGTCCTATGCGGTCCGGTCCTAAACGATCCCGGGCTTCGCGGNGGCTATATATATATATAGTAAGATGTATATATAGTATATCTTAAGATATATACTATCGAATATGACTTATAAACTATGTATATATATATATATATTATAGTATATCGGCAAATTAAATAGATGCATCTATGGTTCGCGCCGTTCGACCCTCGGCAGTGCATAATTTAAATATCGTTATGTTGGTTCGGGCCGTACGTCCTCGGCATTATATGCGCATGAATATTTTGGGATTGAATACTCATAACTGATATTGCTCCAATGTTTAAATGGAAGATAAATTTAGGATTTATAATTGTGAAAAAGGGGTATTTTCCATCACTTACTGTTGAGTTTTAGTATATTTATTGTAATCCTTGCTCAGTTATAAATTTTAAATTCATTATCATTAGCCTTAGTAAGTGTCAAGTCGACCCCTCGTCACAGCTTCTTCGAGGTTAGGCGGTATACTTACTGGGTACATGTTATTTTATGTACTCACGCTACACTTCCGCTCTTAACTGTGCAGGATCTGAGGCAGGTGCATCTGGATATCCCTCTGGCGCGCATTCTTGATCTGGGTTCGAGATTCCACGATGAGCTGCCCTTCCGAGCCGTTCAGCAGCATGCCGGAGTCCCCCCTATTTATTTTGTTTCTGTCTATTCCTATTCAGGCAGTAGGATAGATATCTTTTTTATATTCTACTAAGTTGCCCATATACTTGTGACACTAGATCTTGGTACGTAATAGTAGACTTGTAATTTTGGGTTATGTTCTTACAGTTATTAATGTTTCTAGCTGTTTTTACTTAATCATTTAAATTGGTTTTCATTAAATCTTTTACGTAAAAGAAAAGATCACTACGTGGGAAAAATCTCTAAAATGGGATATCATTAGGTTATTCATTGTTGGCTTGTCTAGCAACTGTGCTGGACGCCATCACGGCCTGATATGGAATTGGGTCATGACAGAAAGCATGCCAGATCCCCTTTTCTCCCTTATTTCAGTTCTAGTGGAAGCACTTCTATTGGACCTCCTCCAATTTTCAACATCAAGCATCCATTTACTGGGGTTATTGGCAATGATGTTGATTTTGATTTGTTGGAAGAATTCAATAAGTGATTATATTTAGGTACCGACACGGTTTCAAAGAGGTTAGATTCTACACTTTTTCATATTATCGAGTGCTTCGAATTTGTGAATTTTCAATTGCAACTACATTTTAATTGTACTTTCTATGTCTTTAAATAGGAAGAAGGCGCCTTATACTGTAAAAGATAACCATCTCAACCTGTGGTTTGATCTTGGAGTGGAGAAAGTTGACAAAAAGGATTGGTTTTATACTTTGGCACATCCTGGGGAAATCCTGAACAACACGGTACACTCATACCCCGACAAAATTTAATGATAAGCTGAAGTATTCTATTATTTTAGATATCCATAGATTTTGTGTTTAAAAATGGTAGTTAAATTGTCTACTGCAGTGAGAAAATATGTAATTTGTTTTTTTGCAGCACATTGATTGTAACGACCCGGCCAGTCATTTCGAGAGTTGTAACCCCGTTCCCCCATTTACTACTCCTTTTATGCTTATTAGTTGTTATCTGACTTGCGGGGTGGTTGGTTCGGGCCCGAAGAGATTTCGAAATGGATTAAGACACTTAGTCTCAAATTTGGAAGCTTAAGTTGAAAGGGTTGACCGGATATTGACTTATGAGTAAACGACTTTAGAATATAATTTTGATGGTTCCGTTGGCTCCGTTGGGTGATTTTGAACTTAGGAGCGTGTCCGGATTGTGATTTGGAGGTCCGTGGTTGAATTTGTCTTGAAATGGCGAAAATTGGATTTTTGAAAAGTTTGAGCGGGAGTGGACTTTTTGATATCAATATCAGATTCAGATTCCGGAAGTTGGAGCAAATCCGTAATGTCAAATGTGCCTTATGTGCAAAATTTGAGGTCAATCGAACGTGATTTGATAAGTTTCGGCGTCGTTTGTAGAAGTTGGAATTCCTTAATTTTTATTAGGCTTGAATTGGGGTGTGATTTGTGTTTTTGATGTTGTTTGAGGTGATTTGACGGCTCGACTAAGTTCGTATCATATTTTAGGACTTATTGGTATAATTGGTTGAGGTCCCAGGGGCCTCGGGTTAATTTCGGATGGTTTTCAGTCAAAGTTTGAGTTTGAAAGACTGTTGTAGCTGAAGCTTTCTGGTGCAATCGCACCTGCGGAACATTGGTCGCAGGTGCGAGCTGGGAAGCATAGAAGCGGAGGTTGAGGTGCGGACTGAGGAGCGCAGATGCGGAAGGTATTCCCCATGTCACGACCCAAAATCCATTATAGGTCGTGATGGCGTCTAACGCCGTCGTCAGGCAAGCCAACGTTGATTTATCAATTTATTTACTCATTTCATTACTTTCGAGATCATAATCTCCATTACTTAAATAGTATAAAAATGGAATTTACTAGGGTAAAATGATAATAACTACGTGATCTATAATAACGAACAACCAGTAGAATCCCCCAAAATCTGGTGTCACAAGTGCATGAGATATTTCTAAGGAGTACAATAATAACACAACATCTGTCCTGAATGTAATAAGACAGAATAAAATAAATAGTACAATGGAGACTCGGTGGACTGTGATGCATAGCCTGGAATGCAACTCACATAAAGTCTCCTCAATAGGTGCGCCTACGCGCCAAGGTGATCATCAAATGAACCTGTCAGATCCTACACATTTAGTGCAGAAGTGCAACATGAGGATGTAAATCAACGCGTACCCAGTAAGTATCTAGCCTAACCCCAGAGAAGTAGTGATGAGGTTTCGACATCGACACTTACTAAAGGTCCAATAAAGAAATATAATAAAACATAAACAGATATGAGGTATACGGAAATGATGGGGTTAATCTGCAAGTTACATAATCTTCCAATTTTTTCTTTCCAAGCGTAAATTTCTAAATATTTTATTCTACCTTAACGGCTCAGAAAATGCCAAGGGTCGATATCAAATAAATAAGGAATACCATATAAAAATGTGGGGCATCAATGGAAAGATTAGCTCGTAAATATTCGGACTATTAGCAATATAACGCACGATTCTGCCGAGGTCATTCGGCCCGATCCATAATAATGTGTACACTGCCGAGGTTCGAGTGGAAAGAACTATAGATGCATCTATATACTACCGAGGCGTTCGTCCCGCTCCACAGAAAAAGGAAAGAAGTTACCAAATTACGAGACACGTGTTTACAATATCATACATGAGTACAAAATGGATATAATCTTTACCGTTTTTCAAATAACTCGCCCACAACACAAAGTGTTAAGGCTTGGCCTAGTATACATATATGTATTTCTAAATCAATTTCATTTATGACTTCAATTAATTAAGCCAACAAAAATGAGTTCAAATAACTCAAATATTACAGGATAAGATCCTAAGTCTACCCGGACATAAACATGTTTTAGCTACGTACGGACTCTCGTCACCTCGTGTGTGCATAGCACCCACAACTAGTTGCACATAACGATAAATATCACCTAGGGGTAGTTTCCCCCTCACAAGGTTAGCCAGAAGACTTACCTCGCTCCGAAATTCCATAACCGGCTCCAACGCCACTCAAGCACCTCAACCCGATGCCCGTCTCTTCAAAACTATTCAAATAATGTGCAAACCAATCAAAATATATTTTAATACCCATAATTAATCAATATAAACAATTCCCAACTACGCTCGAAAAGTCGATAAAGTCAACCCTCGGGTCCACGTGCATGGATTCCGAAATGTTTTGAAGATAAACCCCACCCATAATATCACGAACTCAAATATATAGTTTATTCCTAATCCCATGTCCAATTTCGTGGTCAAAATCTAAAAATACCAATTTTCTAGGTTTTCCACCAAAATCCTAATTTCTACAAATTCTCATGCTTAAATCCATGTATAAACCATGTATTTAACTCACAAGGTGAAGAAATCACTTACCCCATAATAGTTGATGAAGATGGCACTCCAAAAGTGCTCCAAAATCGGTTCCCATGGACGAAATAAAGTGGAATTGAGCCAAACCCCTGATTTAAAAGAACACACTGCCCAAC